GCGCGGAGGCCCTCGTGGTGGTCATGGCTGTAGGCTCGGGTGCTGCCCGTGGTGTCCTGGCTCCCCGAGAGGCAGCCAGGGCTCTTGGTATCGATCCGGCGTGAGGGAGAGGAGAGGGGAGGAAGAGAAAGAGAGGGTTAGTGCCAGAAATACACGAGCGAGGAGCAGCAGGGAGCAGAGCGGAGCACCCAGGCTCGGTGGCAGAAAGGGGAGATGGTGCAGGATGGAGGAGAAAAAGCCGATCGCCTTTCTCCTTTCTCCATCTCTGCCGCCCGGAGCTCCTGGGAGGAGGAACCTGGTGTCACAGAGAGGAGAACAGGCAGGAGGGGAGGGAGGGGAGGGACGGCCGCAACCACAGAGCGGGTCAGAGCTGGGGTTAGAAATCTGTTCCAGGCTCCCGCTCCTCTGTTCGGGCCACAGCTCGCTCCAGACACTAAATCTCTGCATCACTTGGGGGCTTCCTCCAATCCCACCACGGCAGCTCCACGGAGCACAAACCACCACAGCGTGCCATCCGGTAAGCCCCAATCTTCACGCACCCCCTGCCCGGAGCCTGAGCCGACCTTCCAAGCACCACCACGCATGACCCAAGCTCCATTTCGTACTAAGCCCCAGCACAAAGCTGGGGGAAACCGTCCCTCTCTTCTCGCCAAGGCTACGGGCAACCCCTCTGCCACGAGACCCCGTAACCCAGGGCTCGCCACCCCTCGCGCTGGTGGGATGTCGGTGAGATACTGGTGGGATGCTGGCGAGATACTGGTGGGATGGACAGGGCACATGGATGTCTCCGCAACTGGAGGGTGATGGGCTCCGTGGACGGAGCTGCTCATGCAGTGGAGATGAGATGGGTCACTCGAGCGGGTGACAGAGAGAAGAAAGCGCTTTCTTACCAGCGAACCCTCAGAAAGCAGGGCTAACGTCCACGGAGGGGGCAAATCCCGTCAGGCTGTGCAGGAAATGGCAAAGTCCTGGCAGGCATCCTCCTGGGGGAGACACCAGAGATTACGCACCCCAACACCTGCCGCTACGGCCGGAGCGGGCTGGGTTAGAGAGGGACCACGGATCCCGGCACAGCCCGAGGTGGGTGGGGAAAGGATGCTGAGGCTTCTGCAGGAAGGGGACCAGCGAGTGGATGAGACCCTGCCCAGCCTGGAGACTGGAACAGAAAAATCCCTTCGCTCCAGCAGGAGTCACAGCAGCACGAATTGCTGCTAAGCATCCCTCGTAGCCCCATCCTGCAGGAGGTTGTAAGAGCTTCCAGACAAGGACTGGGCCTAATAAAGAGTCCAACTGCCGCCTGACAGATGTTAAACACAGAGACACCTGCCCTCTTCTGTCTTAAAGGAATAAAATAATAATCCAAGCAATTAACTCTTTAAAAATATAATTTTATTATGTTGAGTAACAAAGGAAAATGGTTTAAATAAAAACAGGAAGGAGTTTGGCCCCTGATATCAGCCCCCACGCTGCGCCTCCCCGCCAGCACCAGACCCTCTCCGCACAGCTCGCCTCGCCCCAGCCCCACGCCTGCCCCTCGAAGGCAGCGCCGAGGCTCCTCGAAGGCAGGGACGAGCCCCACTGGGGACATCCCCACAGGAGAAACGGGGAGGGAAGGGCAAGGTGGCCTCTCCGGATGCTACACGGGTCCGTGAGATGGCACGAAGCTGCGGGGCCGGGGCGGCTGGCCGAGCAACACCGGGAGCCTCCCCGGATGGCGAGGGCTATCCGCTGAGATTCGGCAGAAATCCGCAAAGAGCCACTGCCAGGCTTTCACCTCGGCTCTTTGTGGAGGGGAAGGTAGAGCTGGTGGCCACAGCAAACAAGCACCAAGATCTCTCTGCAGCCAGCCAGAAACGTAAGGCCAGGGGAACCTTGTGCCTCTGCCGTCGCCCAGCGTGCCCCGGAGCCGTGCCCCGAAGCAGCGCACAGGCTGGCGCGGTCACTCCCAGTGTGCAAAGCACAAGGCTGGTGAATTCGGAGGGGACAGGCTGGCCCCAGAAGTGTGCTGCCTCTGCCTGAGGTTGAAATACGTGTGTCTGACCCACAGAAACCTAACCGGGCAGCTTGAGACAAAACACTGCAAGCCTCTGCCCTGGTGCTAACATGCACAACGCTACCTGCACCGAATACAAAATGTTCTACCTAGAAAAAAAGAAAAAAAAAAGTAATTCTACAAATTGTGCAAAAATATCCAGCAGCTTTTAATAACACAATTCAAGTATTGCTAACAAGGTCTGCGACTCTCCCCTACGCACACTCCAGTGTCAGTGACGCAGAGCTGGCTGCCCGGCCCGGCTCTCCCGTGCCTCCGCAGGCACCGCG